TATTAGTTCAGCACCGACCCGTTATTAGCGTCCACCCTCGAATTGGTCTAGCACTGGGGCTAAAACGGTATCCGACCAGTTTGTCAAAATCCAGTTTGTCGAAACCCATGATTGCCGAATTAATGGCCTCTTTGCCGAAACCCAGTTTGCTGAATCCAGTTCACCGAAACATGACAACCCAGTTTGCCGAAACCCAGTTTGCCGAATCGTTTGCCGTCACCATCGTACAAAGTACAGCATACTGTGCTTTTGAAAACATGATGGGTGGATCAAGGAAGAGCCATATTTACATTCCCGTATTTGTACCCGTGTAAACGCTCCGCTTTGAATAAACGCCTCATTTGTAAACGCCTCTTTCGAAAACAACCCGTGGCGTATATTTTTTCCTCGAAAAAAACTCCCCTTTGAATTTCGTCCGGGATCATATAATAATATAACGTTATTTTGATTGTCAATTTCTAATATTGTGGTATAAAAAACCCCCCCAAAAAAAACTCCCAACGCGAACACATGGATTTTTTTTATGCCAGGACGCCGACAGAGGCTAGTCAGCCCCATGATTCGGGTGTATATTTGTAGATTATTATTATTTATTTATTTATTTATTTTAGGTAGGCATATACATATTATTATCTTAATTAAACTTTATACACTTAGGCCTATTATAAATATGCTTATAAGACATTTTATCTGACAGGCCTATTTAATTAATTTTTTTTTTTTTGCTGATAGCTAAATAGTTAATCAAGTTTGATTTACAGAATAAGACAAACTTAAACTACAATAAGCAGTTATTTATTATAAGAATAAACAGAGATCGCTTCGCACTTCGAATTAAGGCTTCTAAATTCTCAATTTCGCAATTCTGGAATTTGCCTCTTTAACAATAGACATGTAATAGATAGTTTCTTTTTTTCCCGATAAATCATGTAAATTTTCTTTCTTCTTTGAGAGTGGAAAAGAAAAATTTCCAATTATGGATGAATAAATAGATAGGCCCTATCTATGTCTATGCCCTTACTTTCCGCTGGCTCCACCAGTTCGTACAGACGCAGTCACGGTAAAAGAGTGCTCCATCACGAATGTTATGCAGTTTTTAATGTTTTACTTCTTTTGATTGACTTTCGGCAAACTTGGTTTCGGCAAAATGGCGTAAATTTCACCCTAAGACTGTAAAAGTATAGTGTTCGCTACGAAATTTTTCGATGGGAAGTCCAAGATCCTGTTTCCCCAGATCATCTATCCCTCACCTCCGCCGACACTGATGTTTTCCGACTTCAAATATAAAGACCCTTTTTGAGGAAGTGCCCTTATATGGCATTTTCTTCTTACTGATTTGAGTAAACATACATTACATTATAAACAGAGGAAAACAATAGAAAGTTCGCTCATAAATACTGGGACGGTGTTTGGCAAGGGTAGTTTTTACCATTTTATTTTTTACCAATTTGTTTATAAAATAATAATTTACGGTATATATTAAAAAGTGTAGTGGTAGTTTTTACCATGTAAAAACTACCATTACACTTTTTAATATATAAATTATTATTTTATAAATAAATTAGAAATACCAGGGTGACTTGTAGGGGTATAATTTTACCTGCGTTATATTTACTGTGATCTAACATATTGTTTACAGTTTACTACTACATTTTCTTCTCTGAGCCGACCCTTAGAATACTATTTCAACGTAAATATTATGTTTACAAATGGCTATAAAAGGATACTGAGCAAACAGCTCTACCTCCCATACTACCCAGGAGATAATGAACCATTCCGCTAAGCCCCAACCCTTAAAAATATTGTGCCAAAAAAAAATAAATAACAACAACCCTAGATGCCTGAAAATAGCATCTGGCAACCTATAAAGCCACTTCCCTCCTAGTGGGCGAATAAATACACTACCCATGCTCTGCATGGTTGGGGCAAAGGTGAGCAAATTTTGCTAAAATAAAAGATTTAAAAAAACAGGAGCTTGAAATGCATAGGCTAATAGTACGCTACAAAACACGTACCGGTACATGGTGAAACATTCGAATGACATTGAGGTGCAAAAATTATTAATATAATTTATAGGTAAAAGTATATGTATTTTTTAAAGTAATAAAAGTATGAGAAGAATTGGTCCGGCCAAAGCCGGTTCGGTTCCGACGGCCCTGAAATTGGCCGAGCGAGGCCAATCAAAACAAATCTTTAAAATACAGTGAAAAAAATGTCTCTTTACTGAAGTAATCCATAAAAAAAACCATCCCTATATTTTTGAGTCTAGAATTAAGGGGCCAGAAATATATTTATGAAAGCGAATTATTTACAATTTATTCTATTTTACTGAAGTAATCCATAGTAACTTTTCGGAAACCATTCTGGTATTTCTGAGTTTAGGTTTTGGGAGTAGGCATTAATAAGATGGTAATAAACAGCACGTATCTTCCCAGCGAGATATATGTAAATATAGACATTTCGTGCCTAATAAAAGTAGGCCTATGTTCCTATAGTACGTTAACTATGATTTTTACCGAAGAGATCCACATAGCTGACCTGGTCGCCTGGGGCAAGGGTGTGTGTTCATGAGGGATATTTTTAAGAGTAGGCCTATGACTTTACAGGGCATCCTGTTCTTACCGGTATTACTCAAGAAAACATTAGGCCTATATTCACAAAAGAGATAATAGAGGCCTATGTGTACATAATGCTGAGAGTGGGAATACATGGAAGACACAGAAGTAGTAGCATGACTAAAATAATGACAAAATCACAATTCCTAGGCCTATCTTAACTCATGTGAATAAGGCCAATGTAAATTTAATTTATAATCAGTGCCAAAAATAGATAAATTGAATTTCTTATTTCCTCATGAATAAGTGCAAAGAACATGAATACATATACAAAAAATGTATATGTATGTCTAAATAAATTAAATAATCGCACCCCCCTAAATTGTATTAAGAAAAAATAATTGTATTGTTGATATGAATTACCTGTAAGATTTTAAGGTAGGAGAGTGAAATTTCCGGGCACCTATTGCAATTTTTTCGCCTCAGCCCCGAAACCATGGTGGGGCTGGGGTGGTGTGGACTCTCACGCATTCCCACCGCCAAATCCTGCATTTTCCCGAGAGTTTATAAAGGATCAGGAGGGCCACAGGGAACCTCCTAATAATTCTCGAGTAAATACAAGTTGATTATATTATGGTTGATACTTCACCTAATATTTTTTATGTGGCATTGATAAGTAAATGCAGTCTGTTCAGCCTCATTCAGAGATAACCAACCCCACAGCCTCTTCATTAGTGAAAATACTGTGCTGACATGCAAGGGCCTCCAAACATTTTGTGGCACCTTCCACCCGGGTTACGTGACTCTTTGCTACGCCGCTGTAAGTTTAACACTTTTAGCTAAAACTATGCAGTACATATCTTGTTGCTTCCTCTCATGTTTTTCCACTGGTAAATACATCAATAACTCATTATTCATGTTTTGTATCAAGAGACTCATTTTGGGATGACATCCGATGGAACTTGGTACACCTGCAGGTGTTAAACAGCATTTTTGTAATGATTAGTGAGGGTGAACTGCAACTCTGACCTTAAGAATAGGCTAATACTGGTTACGCACTTTGTTTATTTTATTTTATCTTTAATTATTGATGCAGCTTATAACAGATGCAAGTCTTGCAGATTGTCCGCACTTCAAGCCATCCACTCCCTTTTACCCCTTCCTCCTGCTATTGTTCCTTAGTTATCCTTAAAATGCTCCTATCAAATGTATTCCTCTCTTGCATTGTTCTTTTTTTATTATTATTATTATAAACTGAATCCATCATCCCCAATAATTTTACAATCTGACCAATCAATATTAAACAATTGAATTGAATTGAATAAACAATTGTATTTAAAACTGTATCAATTTGTTATCAAAATTACTTTTATAATAGATTATATTACAGTAGAAGTATTGCCTGGTGAAGTGGTATATGTTGTCATTTATTTATTTTTTTACTGGCTGACTTGATGCCAGAACATTCAAAGCTTGAATAAAATGTTTGAGAAGACAATACTATCATTCCAGTACATCATTATCATTACAGTGGCATTGCTTCATTACAAATTTATATAATTATCATTACTTCATTATATCATTACAGATACAGTTTATCATTATAGTTCATTATAATTGTTTCATTATCATTACAGTATATCATTATATCAATATTTTTTATTATTATTATTTATCATGACAGTACTGTTATCATTATATCATTACTTCATTATCATTATATCTTATAAGAGTATATCATTACTTCATTATCATTACAGTATTGTTATTAATCCTGGATAGATGAATCTGCATCAGTACAGTATTATTATTAATCCATAATAATAATAATAATAATAATAATAATAATAATAATAATAATAATAATAATAATAATAATATCATAAATTAGTATCACAAATAGATGTAACACCAAAATCATTTTCTGTGGTCATTATTCAATACACCACAATTGTCTTTGTTGATGGGGATATATAACTTAAACTGCATCTTTCACTTCAAGAATTATAACAAGAAAGTACAGGCACCAATGATTGTAACTTGTTTGAGCAAGAGAGTAACCTGTAATTCTATGCTTCTAATTAAGCATAAAATCGCGAAATGTGATTTTTTTTTTGTATTATCATTTTTAGTATTTATTATAATTTTTTACTATTGTCCTTTTAAGGAGCATAATAAATAATATGGTAAAAGTGTAAAATGTGGTATGTCTAATTAATTACTTTACTTCTACTATAGGGAGAGCAGGCTTTTGTATGTTGTAACCCAATTATACCAATTTGCTTTCTGCTCTTCAACTAAGTGCAAGGGCCCGTTCTGATCTCCTGATCATTTTGTAGTGGATGTGCTATCAATTAGCATCCACCAGGATGAAACTGACATAATCTTGGTCACTGTTTTAGTCAGACTGGAGAAGAATTGATACAAACAAAACAATCACATCAATTTCAGAGAAAAAATATATACAAGCTTTATTAAAAATTAAACAAACATGGCTGCTTATTAGTAAGCACCCACATGTTACCAACGTAGCAATGACCATTTTACAACAAGTATCAAAGTGGTTTGGTGTAACGATGGAGAAAAACAGATATTGGTTCTAATACTGTACATAATTTGTTAGTTGGTTATTGTAAAAATACAGATCAGTCCTCAGATCTTAAGCTTGAATCTAATAAATTAAGTATGATTTCACATTAAAAACCAGGAGGAAACATCATTATTTATTCCTCTTTGACACACTTGTTCAAACATTAAACACTGTGTTGTGTGTTCACATTATTTGATATGGTAATACCAGTAGTATTATTGACAGTAATCAAAATAATAATAACAATAACATTAAATAATAATAATAATAATAATAATAATATAATAAGTAGAATTTATGAAGCACTTGATGTCAGATGCTTACAATGAATTTAAATTACAAATTTTATTTTTGCTAAAAATGTCCTAAAAAAAGCAATAAAAATTACAATAACAATTAACTAATTCAACTATCAGTTTACATGCGACAATAATAATGCAATACCATTTATAAAGTAGCTACAAAAGTCTCCCCCAGTGCTAAAATAATGTAATTCTGATGAACTTATTCAACAAACTTTTAAACAATAAGTGCCGGCAATAAACATTTTGGCCTGTGAGTCTTATCAATGAAAAAAGCCACGCATGTCAGAAGACTTGATAGTTAATTATTAACCAATTTATAATTACATGCATCAAATCTTATACATTCTAGCAGACATTGTTAGTGTCTGCAAATAAAAGGTTGTAAAAATATACAAGTATATTTATTTTATTAACTTTGTAAAAGTTTAACAAAAAAAAAACTTACTATTGCACATTTTCGACATATTGTTTACTGAGTAACTACACTTAACAACAATTAGATATAAAATATATTAATAAGCTTCACCAACTATCAATAAATAATTAGCAAGTAACCTAATATTCCAATTCATTATCAATTTCATTGCATAATTTGTCTGCTGTTTATTGTCAAAAATCATGGTTCAGAAATCATCCTTTGTTAGTGTTACTTCCTAATTTGTTAACATCCTAAATCATTTAATAATTGTCATTAGTTGAGAGAAGAATTATTGGAATCATCTTGCATAATTGTCAAAATCATTTAAAGCTTATGATAGATCACAAATTTTGGTCAAAAGCAACTTAACAATAAAATAGATTTAGCATATAAACATTTCCATTAAACTACGGTATGTAAATGTATGAATCTATAAATATGAATATGTAAATTTATATGAATATGTATATGAATATGTAAATTTATGAACCTACTTTCATCAGATTAACATACCTGAGAATATTTATAGAAATGGAAATGTTTGGTCAGAAAAATAACTCTTTTTATTCAACATATATACAAGTTTCGCAATTCTTTATATTATGGAACCTGCCATGCAAAAACCAACAACAGTGACCAAAGCAAGAAAATTGACTTTTTATTTTCATATTCTCCACATTATAAGGTTTAAAATGATGGGTCATTTACTGGAATTGACTTATTATTACCAAAGTTATGAGTACAAGTATTACAGCTTCTCTGTACTAAAGTATACAATACTGCCACATTCTTTAATGCTAATTGTCATTTGGTGACAGTATGCTGGTTTTGGGATGGCAAGCCTCTTGTATGAAACACGCTTTTAAATTAAGTTTACATTCAGGTTTGATCTGTGACACGCATTGGTAGCCATGGATTAATGCCAAGTAATGCCAGTCCAAAATGTTTGTTTTTGCAGATGGTACTACTCTGTGTTCTATAAAGATCCTATTCTTTATAGTTATTTATGCCATGGCCATCACCTTTGAAACATGGTTATCTTTCAAGTCCATCCATGATACCTGTCCTATAACATACTTCTACATTTGCAAGCTATGTGTGAGCTGCACCATCATTTTCTGTTTCTCTTGGAATATTGTCTAAGCCCTTAGCTTACTGAGTATGTACCAGAGTACTTTGATGTACAGTAACTGAGCCTATAAAAGCAGTCAGAATTGATGCATTTCTGTATAATTAATAGGAAAACCGATGGTTCAAGTACTATATGAAAAAGCAGCAATAAAAAATTTGTCTTGATCAAGTGTTTCAACACCGTTTTCCTCTGTATTCCTGTTCGGAAATTCTGCTGCCTATATTTCGTGCAACCAGACGCACATTTGTAGAATATCATTCCTCAGATTTCAGAAATTCCAGGCACAAATCAATTTGCCTATTTGTCCAGATTTTGTTCCACATATGAGCATATGATTTTGTTCCACATGAGCATTTGTTTTATTGCTGCCTGTGTGTCACACATTCACATAAAATCAGCTATGTTCTGACAAGAATCCTGCACATAATAATTGAAATCATATATAAAATGTACAATATATTGGAAGTCCTGATTGAGGAAACGCCATTCTTGGGTTTGGTCGTTACATATATTGCAGTACTACTATTTGAGGGCGCTTCTGAGTTGCATATGTTCCAATCACAACACGATACACATCGCTGAAAATATAATACACAACAGACAAATATTAATTACATATCTATATATTAAAGAGCCAAGGTAATGAACTGATGTTAACTTAAAACCAACTAGCCCATTGCAGACTAGAGCAATTTAGATATATGTTTTCTTTCAATAGATGCAAGAGATACTTTGCCCATTTTCAAACTATACATTTTTTTTTAATGGATCAAATTAGTTTGGAATGAAAGAGGGCAGTATTATAATATTTTTTGATTTATGTGAATGTTTGCATTACATACCTTGACACCTGGGACATCAGTATCACCACAACCTACACTATTCGGGGTACATTCTCCTTGAATAGCGCACTTCTTGTTAATAACCACTTGTCCTGTCCATTCATTGACATGGTGTGATGTGTGGCAAAATTTGGTTCCTGAAGAAAAAAAAAATGCAAAGTACAGTACTGTAAATATATTTTATTAGCATATTCTGGTAGGGATATCAGAACAAAAATTTGCTACTAATGAAAGTATTTAGTATGTCAACAAAATTAATAAATAACCATAAAGAAAACTGTGGCAAAAGAAATGGTTAAAAAGCAATGCAAATACTGCCAGAATGGGTCTCTCGCAAATTCAATGTTTCTTAATAGCTAATTATTCGCAACACAAAATAAAATGTTTAAATTATCTGTATACATCAATTACATCATATTAATAATTTTATACATTTTACATTATTTTTTTTAAACTGGATAGATCAGTATGTTAATGATATGCCACCAGAGCTAGACTAACCCACTGGGTATAAAGGGATAAAGACTGAGATGCCAAACCATACCAAAGGCACTAGCAATAATTAATATAATGATTGCTTTCAGAAGTAATGAAGTAAAAGCTCACTAACCTCTGGGACAGAACATGTCATATGCTTTGCGGTTACATTCATGGTTGCTGCTTTTGTTAGTACAAGTGAAACATTTCAGTGAGTTTGGAAAAGGTGTACCTGCAAATAAAGGTGGTATGGATATTTTTTAGATAATCGTATTAAACTCATGGATTTGAACACAAGACCGATTAATGTTTGTGTGAAAATCATTAAAGTGAGTTTTGATAAAATAGCAACATTGTCATTACACTTTATCCAGCTCACAATATTACGTTAAAAACGTTATTTTGTAAAACCATAAGTACGTATTTAAAACCTAATATCATGTCATAACCTTCTTGCAACATTGTGTGAATGTTATTTTTTAACATACCAATCCACGACGTTCACGAATGTTCTGTATTTGCTAGGTTATTCACTGCAATTATCACACTGCATAGCTTTCCCTGACACATTGGGAAAGGCTCGCTGATTTATCCAACCAATCAGCATCGCTGACAGTGTGTAGCAATTTTATGGATATAAACTTTTATTTAAGATATTTTGGATAGTATAGTATGAAATTGACTGACAATTCATATACCATTTTACATTCAGTACAAACACCTCCGTTAGCAATGTATAAAAAGATAAAGAAAAAACCTTTCTGTCTTAATTGTCTATAGCTTAGACTTTTTTACAAAAAAAAAACAAAACAAATAAATGGGGAGAAGGATGCATTCTAGGTAAAATAGAGGTCCATATTTATGATTTTTGTAGAAGGAAAATTCTAATCTATAAATAGCAATTTCACGTTAACTTCTTCTTGTTTGATTAAATGATACCAATTACTTATTGGTTATGCCTATGGTATGTGGTGCAAGTCAGCTCATATGCGGTTAACCTGCATATCATAAAACACAGTCAAGCATACTTAAGGACTGCTGTACATGTCTCTAGAAACAATTTTAGCCATAAATATCAAGCTTAAGGAAGAAAGGTGATCTTTGGTTTATATAACTTTTGACCATTTGCTTGTATGCAAAATGTTGTGTATGTTGCTGTCAAACCTATGAACTGAAGTTAAAATTTATATACCAGTAGGCTTGGTTTAGTCTGAAAAATACTTCAGCCATTCAAATACAATTGTAGTACTAGATTACTCATTCCCAATTAGGTTAAACAATTCAACAACTTCAATGAAACATAGGTCAATTGATTAACAAACATTTTATTTTACTATTAACTCCTAAAATTGTCTGAGAGTGGCCTATTGAACAAGAGGTAATATATATTCATTGGTCTTTTTTTTTTTATTGGCGCATAGACTGCTGTATTATGCGCCTTATAAATTGATTGATTGATTAAATATCCCAGGGTATTTCATTACAAAAATGTAAGCAATTCATGATGTTTTCACAGACATTTGAAGATATGAATCGATCAAAATCACAAAAGAAAACAAATAATATTCAACTAGAGAAACAAACCTATAAAGTGATTAAAATAAAAATAAAAAAATAAATGAATAATATATACTGCAGTTCTACTATAAGTCAAAGAAAGTAGTTTTCTGTTTTCTGTGTTAATGCTTATTAGGGACTGTACCTCAATGATCCAAAATGCCTAGTAAGCTAAGGCAACCTTTAATTGCTATTTCTATAACAAATATATGTATTTTTTATAATGCGTGTTGACTTGTGGCTGCATATAGTGAGAACTAGGTTGACAAGAGAATATGTGCACATGAGGTGTTGATTTAAATTTTCAGGTGCCCTTTAAGCGCCACAATTTGACACTTCCAAAATAATATACTTTTATGATGAAACAAGAGATCAACCATAGGAGAAACTTTGAATGCTAAATCATGTGACACTGTTCATCATAAAATGATATTTATGACACTTCAGGGGCATAAAAAAACAAGTAAATGATGGATAAGGAACCAAACTGACAGGGGAACCCCCTACAGTAGTGCCCCAGTAGGTAATCCCTACTGGTGGTTCATGGTCAAAGTCTGATTCACATGTATATACAGTCTGACAAACACTTCTAGTAACAGTCTTACATTTCTGTATTTTCTTAACACATCTATAAATTTTAGAGATTCTTAATCATTAGTTCAATATAGTGTTTAATCATTTACCTTTATACCAATGGTTATTTAAGAGAACAAAGTTTGTTATACACTCCTAATTTCTCTTCCCTCCCACATTATTTCAATTAAAATATAGTTTTGTTATTCACAAAATTAAGGCTAAAAGTTTGATGGTGAAAGTCAAGCCTGTAGCCAGGGGGGTTCATTGGGTTCAAACAAACCCCCCTTTTCATGAAGTGCCCTTTCAACAAAGGCTGGCTAGCCTACACTTTAGGCCTAGCCTAGAGCCTATCATCATTAAAAGTCCTACTTTAATACCCGATTGTTAGGCCTACCTAGTAAATAAAAAATTCAGGCCCCGAAACCTTGACTCAGAAATACTGGGATGGTGTCCGGCGGGGGATAGTTTCACCTGTGTATATATATATATATATATATATATATGATTATAATACGCTACAACCAACCATACAAATTTGTCTCGGTTCTTTTTGGTACTGATTGTCTTAAGTGAGTATAGTATGATACAACTTCCGAAGTGCTATAATAAAAAAATAAAGAATAAACCATACTGGATTCTTTGGAGTTTGTATCATGCTACTGTTGTTAAATTACCAATACCGGTACTGTAGTACTAAAGTAGTAGTTTTTTTTTTGTTTTGTTTTTTATCTTTTCCCAACTCAAAAAATTACCTCTTTAATATATACATTTTTTTAAATGTATGGCCTCTCAAATCAATTAAATAACACTTGTAAATGCTTAGAATGCTGGACCCCCACCGGGGTTTTGGCCCTGGACCCCCGGGGGCCCTTGGCAGCGCCCCTGGCCCCAGCCAATGGTGCTCGCAAGTGCCCTTTCAGTATCAAAAAGAACCCCCCTACCAAAATCCTGGCTACGGGCTTGAAAGTTCAACACATTGGAAATACAGTAGAAATTAAAATGAGAAATTGCTTGTTAGTAATTAAAAAACAATTTAAAAAAAGAACTATAATAATTGATTAGAGTATTACAGATCATAATAGCTATATTTCTAATATGTAAAAGAAAACATTGAATGTAGGACATTCTGCTGAGGGCTAATTTACATGTTTATTTCTGACAACTCTAATTAACTACTCATGTACCAGAGGCTAGAATAAGGTTCTAAGAAAGATGTAGCAAGAGGCAAGCAAAATCCTCCAATATGACAGTGACTATTACAACAACACCTTCAACAGAAAATTAGCTGTTAATGACATAAATTTATATGAAGTATATATATTTCTTTAAATGTAAACAAAATTAAAGATATATATGCTTACTGTCCACAGTTCAAGATGACTGAATAAAGTTTGAAATATAGAATCAATAATGGCTTGTATCACATTCTTCTGAGTTTGTTTTATACTATAGGTGAACACCTCATGGTTTCAGTATATATTGTGTTAACAAATGATTAATAAACAAAATAAATAAAAGCTCTATGTGTTTAAGCTACTAGTAATACACTAAAATCATGGAGGTTCTTGAACAAAAATCAAATATGGTTACACATTAAAATCATGAATATTTCAAAGTACAAACCTAAACTCAGTGTTAAGTGAAACTAGAACAATGTAACTGCTTACTTTTTAAATTATTCAATTTAAAATAGGAATGATAAACAGAGCATTTGTGTTTTAATTAAATTTTCTAGATTTCACCACAGACAGTGAGATCTTTGAAAAAAAAGGAAAATAAACATTCTGCATTCAAGAATTCACAAACTACCAAAGGGCTCCAAGTTTATAGTCTTAAAGTCAAACACTTTGATCTCTTAAAGCAGTAGTTACTTCAAAGTTAATATTTACTAAAGTACAACTTGTATTTTCATTATAATTATATTTTGTCAGCCCCATGTATATTGCAAATTCAGTGATAATAGATGAATCAAATCACTTTTCCAAAACATTATATTCAAGATAAAATGACACGATATGTCAATAAGTATAATCTTCAATAAAATAACAAGTAAAATTAAACAATTAGGCCAAAATAATTGTTTAATTGTTAGTTGTTGTCCATTTGTTGTCAGTTGTTATTACTAGTTGTTGTTAGTTGTTATCAGTTAGTTGTTGTACTTAATATAGTACAGATTACAGTGTATTGCAAAGAAAATACTTTAAAAATAATAACCAAAATAATTAAATATTAAAATCTATTCAACTTACTATCATCATAAGAGAAGAGTAAGATGTCTTGGCTAGGAGCAGCTGAAGCCCACGCTAGAGTTAACAAACCCAATAGCAACACGTACAACCATCTGCTCTGCATCCTGATAATACGCCTTTAACTCTTCAACGAGAAACATCTATAATGCATGATCTGTTCAAAAAGAAAATTAATTTTCAATCAGTTAGTTGTACTTAAAATAGCACAGATTATAGTGTATTGCAAAGAAAATACTTTAAAATGAAAATTGAATTGAAAATTTCAAATGGCATTTGTCTTGTTTATGCGAACATTCCATACTTTTGAAATTAATGCAGAAAAAATGAGGCATGTCGTGGCAAAATGGTTAAGTTGTCGCACAGGCCAGTATTGAGTAAATGAGCTATAAAATATGGGAGCTCAAAAAATTGCCTAAAAATCCAAATTTGTTTTTCACTATAGATCAACAGTTTAATGTCTTATTAATCATATACCAAAGTATTAGTTCTGGAAGTGGTCAACAAGTTGTTTATTTAACGTTATTTTAATAGTTCATTCTATTAAACAATGTATGCACAAATAACTTTGAAAGGCAATTACTTAAAATCATGTTTATCTTGATTCTAAGAGTACTGTACTTTCACTTTCCAACAACTTAGGCTTGAAATGTCCAATTTCAATGAATTACCCCTCATTTTAAAGACCACATACTCAGGTATCTGAAAATACCAATAACTTAAATTTCAATTTTTGCTACAACTTAGCCATTTTGCCACAACATGCCTCAAATGTGTGGAATAGCCTATATCAGAATATCTCAACCAAAAGTATCAATTACCACAAACTTTTACAATAAAATGTATTAACTTAAGAATTAATGGGACTGGCTTTCAAAAATAAAGGATATGATAAAATGACTAAAAATTTACTTAATAGAAATAAAAGAAAAGAGGTGAAACTGTTCACATAGACATTTTATCGATGCCTTACAATGCACTACCAGCCACAATATGTTTAATACCAATAGGCCTAATCATTTTCAATCACTTTTTGGATAGAAAATTTGAGGCATATTTGCCAAGAAGATGGTCAAGAAACATGGATTAAAGACAAACCAAAATATATCTTAGGAACTTGCAGACCTAGTCACCACAACATGTTTGACATCTTAAATCAGAAAGCAGTTATGATCATTTCTTAAGGACCAATCTTAATTTTCCCCCCATTTCCAACAGGCAAACAAGAAAGAAATTTTCACTTACAGAAATACAAAGAATACTCAACTAAATTATGAAAAATAAGTTTATTCATAAATGTTCAAAAAATCTTTCGAATACAATCCTCTCACACATATTTCTGACAAATGCACACACAACTGAAACATCAAACTAAAGGTAAAAACAACTAGTGTTCTTAACACATCTTTTTTTTTAAACAATGAGGAGACAAGTGTTCAATAAATATTTTTCAGAAATATTAAGGCTGGATCAACCCCTGCATCACTTCAACCCAATCAATCAGCAGTTTTATTCACCCACATGTATCACATACCCTACTCCAGGTCTTTATTCAGATCTATCTGTAGTGCCTAAACATGTAGCAACTAACATAACCCTCTAATCAACATGGGTACTTACATATGCACGAGAAAAGAATATCCCTTAATTGTACTGCTTTAATCACATACTGGTAGGCCTTAATAATATGTGCTTTCTTATAAACTTCTCTTTCTCAGCTAGAATGCTCATCAAGGAGACTAGAACCGGTTAATCCGAATGATAAATATCATGAGCTCAACAACATTCCAGGCTTTACTATTGGCAGACAAAACACATTCTGAAAGCATTCACATTTTTAATTATGATTACTTTTTTGATGGCGATTTTAGAGGGCAACTCGAAAGCGGTTTTATAGCTATGTCCTTAGAACCTAGCTCAATAAATGTCACTAAGAATGGGTTTTATGAGGGACTTCAAAGCACATGTGCCAGCATTTCATTAAACCCTCAAGCAAATAGGCAATATAAAGGTGGTGAGATTCTCATTAATGTATGTTTCTTACATCAATGGGGTCATTAATTTATATAATCATATGCACACAAATAGGTGAAATCTGAAGACTTAATAACTAGGCCTATGTTAGTAGATGAATCCATCTTCTATTATACTATCACTAGATAACATGTCATCGCAATTTAACTATATAAATGTGGGAACAAATCACTGTATATCAAGTATATAATTCAAGATTGTGAGTTGGAATTAGTTTGATTTCTGAACCTTGTTTCATAGATTCAGTATTAGTTTCATAAAGTTTATATATAGCCCTACATTAAAGAGATTTTACTCTGAGATCATTATAATTCTAATTTGTACTGATACATGATTGGATCTCAAGTTCTGTCCAATCACAGACAAGAATTTAAAGGAGTGTGGAGTGACTGGCTTGCTGATAGCCATACAGTAACATTTGTTCATTGTTTTCATCTAGTACTTTTAAAGATTTCTGCAGTTGTTCCCTGCCAATCTAGTTTATATGTGACTTTCATTGACATTATAATGGACTGTTGTATCAAGCTGATATCTCTCCAGAGTGTGTAGTTGGCAGTGACTGAGGGTCAGCAGACCACTGGTCACCTGTTTGACCCTCCTGTGTGGTCACTAAAGTTGTTTTGCTCTAACTCGACTGATTTCTTCAAAAATTTAAGCAGTTGAAATACATAATAAAATTTAATGGGTTAAGCCTGGTTTTATAGACATCATGCCTGTTTGTGTCAATTTTAACAATAAAATTCAAAAATTTAAATTTCTTACTTTGTTTAATTAAGCAAGTTTTTAGCTTTTAATTGAACATTAGAACGAGAAAATTTTTCATATGTGTCTCATTGGAAATTGATAACTTTGATTACTGTACCCTTTTAAATATGAGCATAATTCATACTGTATTTGTAGGGTATTCTAGGTTTTTTTTGTGTATATATATATATTTGAAAAAGTGGTCTTTGAATGATATATAACTGTCTGCTTTATTATTTCTAATCCTCTCTCTCTTCATTCTTTTTTAATCATGTTTCCTATGCAATGTGGGAAGCACACTGCTTTTTTAACCTTGCAATATTTTTTCACCTTTAATGCTGATATAACTAATCTTGATAACCTTCCTCAATGCAACATACACACAATATACACACATCCTTTGAACATGTTATGATATGATTAATTCCATTTGCACGTCAATTAAAGCCATCATATTACTTTTTGAACCAGGGTGTTGGCCTTAGTCCTACCAGCCCACCTCCCTGTGAGGTGAGCCTTGCCCTAGGGGACCAGTGAGCCTGGCAAAGCCATCATGATTCCTTGATGTCTAGCTCTAACCTATAGACAATTCATGCAATTGTTTGTATGAACATGTATGAGCCTTAGGACCTAGCGATCTTGGTGTGGTGAATCCAATTTAAGATTACTGTCTCCGTATTATTTATACATTTGTTCTCGTTTTAAAATTAGGAAAAAACCACCAAATAATATTAAAATTTTATCAAATAAAAATGATATGTTCAAGTATTCAATATATACTTGATAGTTAACCTTTTTGATGTTAAAAAGGTAACGGTACACTGGTTTATTTTACACATTTTGTAAGAAAACTGAGGCTGAAAATACTTCACAAATACTGTAAGAACAAAATAAGAACAAATTGAGGCTGAGTTAAAATGCAAATGAGATTTATTTTAAAAAACTAGAGAAACCAATAAAATAAATCAGTAAAATTCTTTTTGTTAGTGTGACTATACAAAGAATTAATAAATAAATAAATACAGTATATACTGCTGTATAATTATTAATTTTCTATCTTTGAAAAAAATAAGAACATTTTAAGCCTGAAATTTGCAAAAAAATAAGAACACTGAGCCTGGGCAAAATTTTACTGGTTCTAAGTACAAAAGTACAGAAACAAAGCTGATGTTCTTAGTCTGACGTAGGCTTATTGTCGTAAAGTTACACAATGATCTGTTCTATGTAAGCATTGGAAACCAAGCATCTACCATTAATACCGCAACTATCATTTTTTCACTTAATTTTTATTAACAGCTACCTTCCACACATCTTTACATAAATACAAATAGAATATTAACAATGGTGATAGAATTCCCAATGGAAGTTGGCAGTACAAAAACTTTGAATACAGAGCTTGGGTTTTTTTACGGGACTAAATTCTTGATCATGAAAGTACTTCAGGTTAATGACCTTCACCTTACAAGGCACAGTAGGGCCTAATGAAATGTGTAAACCGCTTTTGATATCATCATACTCATATATGGAATGGAGGTTCTTGGGTGTTAAGATGCTTGCCTTCCAATCACTGGGTTCAATACCTGTAAATCTTTTCTAACGACCAAAAAGAACTTAAGTTCACTCACAAAAGCCAGACGCTCACTACATCATACGACGGTTGTACGGCCATTGTACAATGAATTAACTTTGTTCCTCTTGAGCGCTAGACGACGTGATGCTGTCTACTGATTGGAATTGTCCAAACACATCACCATACAAAACAATCCGTTCACGTGCGCTTTGTGGCATTGCATCCTCCATAGAATCGTGTCGGCCGACGGCCGTCTGGCACAGTGAGTGCCCTGCTTGAGCCTGTACCGAGACTTTCTAAAACGTCTTACGTGTGTTTTTCATGGGAAAGGCAGTGGTGGCGCCAGCAGGTAGCAGAGAGTGTTTCCCCCAAATTTCTGGAACCACCATTGGTGAAGGGATATTTGCTTAGACAGTGCACAAGTTTGTTATTAACAATCCTTTAACAAATTTGTATAATTTTCAATTTATTTTTTTTTAAATAAAAATTGATGAATTTTAATAAAACAAGTTTCCAACAGATTTTAAAAAGAATACATTCTGAAGTATAGATGACTAACATGTATGACCTCAAGTAACCTGCATTATGGTTGCTATGGCAACACTCTGACGTTTATTGCTATGTCATATCATGTGCTCTTGCATTTGATATGATGAGGTTTTTTGTTAATGACCTTTGGGGTTTTAATTTCACAAAATCTGTCAGGTTTAAACCAATGATTATTTTTCACAAATAAAGAAAACTATTGAATTTCAAACACAACTTGCATATGATTAAATATCCTTTTGTCAACCTGCCAAACATTATTT